CTCCTCCCTCTAACAGTATGGTAGAAATGGGGTGGTATGGGGGATAGTGTGGAAGGGGGAGGACAGAGTGTAGACATGGGGAAAGGAAACTGAACAGACAGCAGGCACGGGATAAAGGAAGAGAAGGTCCCAGGGTTCCGGGTTTAAAGAAGGCCCAGCCTGCTGATTTCTGTCGGTACCTAAAGAGAGAGTCTGCTAGGTATGTCAGTACTATCTGGCGCCCACGATCGAGGGCTGAAGAGGCAGACAGGAGGCTGGAACAGGGGGATAGATGGACTACAGATTTAGGGTCTTAATTTCTGGTAATAAGTGGTAAACGGCAGTCCATGGGTACTATAAAGGACAATAGGAGCTTAGTCAATGGGACGCTGGACCCGGTTTCCAGCAGATGGATTTTCTCATGATCATGTTTTTCTCATCAAGCAGCTGCTCAGGTAAACCACCAGTACTTGGCCCAGCTATCAAGTCAGAGCCTTGGCCGACCGGTATGCGGATCCATGCCGAGGCTGGTGCTACCGGGCGTTCACGTCCCGGACGTGTCGCTGAAAGAGACGAGTGAAAAACGGAGAAAAATAAGAAAAAAAAACGACATCTGAATTCTCAAAACGAAGAATGAAAAAAAAAAAAAAAAAAAAAAAAAAAAAAAAAAAAAGTAAAACCAAGAGAAAAAAAAACCGTTGTGCTTTGAAAAACAGAGAGAGAGAGAGAGAGAGAGAGAGAGAGAGAGAGAGAGAGAGAGAGAGAGAGAGAGAGAGAGAGATCGTGCATTTCTTGCATGCCCTCCGCGAATACAGCCGCCTTTCTCTCTCTCTCTCTTACAGCCGCCGGTGCATTTCTTGCGTGCTCTCCACGAAAACAGCCGCCTCTCTCTCTCTCTCTCTCTCTCTCTCTCTCTCTCYCTTGTGCCCTCCGCGAATACAGCCGCCTTTCTCTCTCTCTCTCTTACAGCCGCTGGTGCATTTCTTGCGTTCTCTCCACGAATCCAGCCGCCTCTCTCTCTCTCTCTCTCTCTCTCTCCCCCCCCTGCTTTCGGACGTGGAAATGGGAATGAATCCACCCGTTTTTGCGGGAAGATTCATTCCCATGAAAGTTCTCTCTCTCTCTCTCTCTCTCTCTCTCTCTCTCTTGAGTGCGCCATTGTCGAGAATCGTTTTTTTTTTATTTATATAGTTTTCTCATTTGTTTTTCTTTCTTTTTTCTTTTTTTTTTTGTATTCACGAGTGTCATCCCGAAAGTTGCTGAGCCCGGCGTTTGCTGAACTACCGGTTGCTGCTCTCGGCCGACCTCTGAGGCTCCGCCGCGTTAACGGGCAAGCCTGCGACCAATAGCTGGGCCAAGTACTGGCCCCAGTCTCACTGGGGCAGTCAATGCTGGCAGCCAGAGTCTTTTTCTTTAAAGGGCGATGGCCTTGAGGTATTATCATCGGACTAACCAGCCCATGTAAATTCAATCTTGTGTCTAATCTGTCAACGGTGGCCTTTTCAGCCCAGGGTGGCCTGATAGCCTTCAGGGATCCCCCACTGGGGGGCACCGGCCAGGGGACAGCCGGTAGCAGAGGGACCAAGCATCATCTGAGTGGCCAGTCGCTGTGCCTCCTTGAGTACCCCTCCCCCTATGAACATCAGCAGCGACTGCTTTTTAATGCCAATTGGGGGGACCAACGGGCTATCTCTAGGTGGCGGGCGCCAAGCATGCCCAGGAAGGTACATGAGGCCAATGGGGATTGAACCCAAGACCTCCTGAATGCCACTTGCGTGCCTTACCAACTGAGCTAGGCCGCCGGATGCAGCCAGAGTCTCACTTATGCCCTGATGCTTATCAACTGTTCAAATGGGACACGGCTCCCCACCAATAGATCGGAGCAACCGGATCGCGCACTAGGGGAGGTTGCTCGTATCACCTTTCCTAGTGACGCTGGTCTGGCTTTTTTTCAAAAAAAAAAAAAAAAAAAAGCATGGCAGCCGTCAGAGAAGGGAGTTCCATCAGGCACACGAAGGGACTGCAACAGTCATGTACCACTCTGCAACTTTCCGAGTTGGCTGGGTGGGGAGCAGGGGGAGGAGATGGGAGGGTTAGTGGGACTGCAGCACTTTCGAAAGTCGGCCTCCTTCCCATCTTGGGAAATGTAATGTCGCGATTTTTCTTTTTTTCAAGTCTTTAAAATTACTTTTCTTCTTTTTCTTACAGTGCCGCACAGTTCCAAGTAGGCCATGACTCGTGTGCTAGTGGAACCGTTCCCCTTGAGTCAGTCTTGATGCTAGGATGGGTCCTCACTGATACCCCCCACCTCCTCTTTTTTTTCTTTTTTTTTTTTTTTGTATTTTGGCCTGATCCGGACCTTCCCGATCGGGCATCCAGACGCCTGTCTGAGTAGGGACTGTCTGGATGGCGGTCCGGACTTCCGGATCATAGCCATGCAACAGATGTGTTCGACTCGTTGTTTCCCAGGATTTTCTCCAAATTTGTTGCCATTTTTAATCATCTTGTTTCCTGTTTCTATGTTTGAACTTTTGCTTGTGCTCGTCCACCTCTTGTCCTGCTTTTCCTGAATACTTTCCCAAGCCCCACGTTCATAATGATGCCACTGGAGTATGCCTGGTGTGGAAAACACTGAAGACCAAGAGGAAGAAGAGGGAGAAGAAGAAGAGGAAGGGGAAGAACAGGAAGAAGTAGAAGAAGAAGAGGCAAAACCTGAAAAGAGAGAATAAGATGGAGGTCCATGGGAGCAAAGGACATGGCATGTCAAGCAGGAGACATCAAGAAGACAATGGCAGGATCCACCATATTCCGGCTAAGGAACCGATGCCATATCGAGGATATATTGGGTGAGAAGCCGATCTTTTGCTTTTTGTTTGTTTGCACGGAGTATCCTCCGGGTACTCTAGTTTTTAGTTCGAACATTGAGTCCTCCATGAGAGTAAAGCCTCTGGGTGTTCTCTGTGTATTCGTTATTTGTTTGCATGTTGAGTCCTCCACGAGAGTAAGGTCCACGGGTGAGGACGCGAGGCTGTATTTTTTTCCTATTATATATTATTATTATTATTATTATTATTATTATTATTATAATTATTATATTACTATTATTATTATTATTATTATTATTATTATTATTAATTTATTATTATATTTTATTATTATTATTATTTTGTCAAAGGCCTCCCATTTCTGAGACTGGGGAGTGTGTATGTTACATGCCCAGTTGGGCTATGTACATATAAACCAAGGATCCGCAATGTGCTAAAAAGGACTGAATGGACAATGCAGTGCAAGTGGAATCTCAGCAAGCAATGTGCATTCCGATACATACAAAATGGTGCTTTATAGCGCAGGGAAAACTTTAGATACAAGTCCTGACCTGACCGGGACTGAC